CTTGAGCTGATTCGCTGCTGCGAAAAGGAACTGTGCGAGATTCAAACAAGTATTCTTGCATGTCAAGGTGAATGATCTTGCTACGAGCGCACAGATTGTGCAGAGGTTGCGTGTGGAAGGAAAGGTATATGGACCAAACCCAATTAGATCTCTCAATCTAAACTTTCAGACAACACCTTTTTGGTTGTTCGCCGTTGCTCGCCTGTTTCTCTGATTTTCTTTGCACATGCTCGATCTAGAGCCTTTCTATTATATAATTTGCTAACGCAAAGGTCTGGGCATTCTTGCCGGAGGACGAGGATGCCGGGCAGCAACTCATTGACAGGGCTCGCGCTTTCATCAAGCGTCCTGGAAAGGGAATCCGCTCTTGTTAAACCGACAAACAGTAGCAAGAGCTTCAAGGGTTTAGCGCCTTATCACAACAGTCCTTTTCGGTGACTCTTGTTCTGAAACAAACACAAGGGGTGCCTTCACACTGGGACGTGCACTATTCTATTCCTAGGCCGACATGCCAATGCTCGACCTTTGTTTGCGGTGAAGTGTTCAGAAGCTGGCCACCATGTTTGGCGATTTAGGGGACAGGGTAGACACTGAGGATACAAAGCACTGAGGTCTTTTTCTCCAATGTCCAAACCAACTGATCCCTTTTCGGTAGAGTTCTGATCGATCCCAACGTTCAGTACTGAAAGCATGTGAAAAGAAGAGAACGGCAAGAATATATAATTGCTGGTGAACATATGACCCAGGTCTGTTCCGCTAAAAACGAGTGGTAGCACCTGCCTTGTACTGTACTGTCCTCCTACCTCCTACCTCCTACGGCAAAGCTTGAGATCCGCATCAGCCAACTGAAATGGTCCGAGATTGCATCCACATCCAGACTGGACAAATAGTATTCATGACTCATGATATCTCATGATACTAGTACTATAGTCAGATGTGCTCCTACCTACAGATTTGCCTTTGCAAATGTGTTTCTTGAAATTTGGCTCCGTTTTGAGATGTTTTGGCACTCAATTTGGGTCGCTGAGGACTGGCATCCAGCAGTTGTGGAGTCAATCCTTGATGATGGACGTTTGAAATTGATTTTTATTGAGCACCAGAAGCAGCAAATTGCCGAGGGCATGTAGGGTCGAAGATGCAAAACCATGGCGTGAACCTTTGTGTCATGTGATGTGGGTGGTGTGAGTGTGTGTCATCAAACATTTGACTTCGTTGATTTACACGACCTTTTTTTTGTCGCGCATGGCCACTCATCATTGGAGTCATCATTGCCTGCAACATAGCAGATGCATTCGGTCGCTGGGAATCCTCAAACTGTTCTTTTGAATGATAGGGTCCTCTGACTTGTAATTATGGCCATGGATCAAAATGTGGACCTCCAGCCAACCGGTTGACCAAACCTGGTTGTCGTTGACAGCGTGGTTTGGAAAGGTATGGAAAGCCACAAGAAGCTGGGCCCGATGAAGTCCGGGCCATGGAAGATGTGGCGGACGAGGGTGAAGAAGGGGAAGGCGAGCCTTCTGCCGTAAGCCGTAAGGGCTTTTGGAGCTTGCGCGGCCTATAAACATTCTTTGAACAAGAAACTCCTAGTAACAAGTGCATAAGTGTATCGCTACTAGTAACAAGGGCATTACTACTAGTAACAAGAAGCTACTAGTAACAAGGGCATAAAAACTAGTAGCTTGCGCGGTCCATGGAACTTCTTTGAGGGGATGCAGACACTTCTGCGGATGATGTATATAGAATCATAGATAGTCTTAAGACGTACTGGCAAGTCACAAAAAGCACATGTTAACATAAAAATGTTATATGATGTATGTTTATGGCGTTTTCACTGACATGTGAATCCATACTTACTAGTAGCTTCTTGTAACTAGTAGTAATGCCCTTGTTACTAGTAGCTTCTTGTTACTAGGTTGTTGTGACCTGGAAACGTGTTCTGACTTGTTCAATTTAATTATGTCTTGCCGTGGTCCCAGAATGGACTCTAATGCAGCCCACATCCTTCCAACAATGCATGTTTATTCCAAAAAAACATTAAGATCAGTAATAAACCAATTCCTGTATGTTTAAATCGATTTTTCATGGGTCTTTTTACATGATATCCACCTTCCTCCACCTCTGGATGCTGTTGCGGGAGTCCCAGCTCCAACACTTCACATGTCCCATGTGTTTTTTGGGGGTGACATGGCCTCCAAAAGAAGAGAACAGTGATGCTTTTGGTGGGTTCCCCTGCTTGCTGGCTTCCCGGACTCTTCCCGAATCCTTCCGACCATAAAATAAGTAACCAACAATAAATCATAAACAGATTTTGGAACATTAAAGCACATCCAACTCACTAAAACAACCACATTAACAAATAACCCTTGAAACCAGCCCTCTGGATCGTGTGGTTCGTCACATATATATATACACACATTATATTCAGCTGTTCACAAAGATTGCCAGATCGTTGTTGCGCAGGTGAGTGCGAGATGTGCTTCTTGTCAGCACTGAAAGCGACTAAGGCTGACTAAGGGGCTTGTGGACACATTGGTAGATACTGCGTTCCAGTTGTACACACGTAGATCCTAGATAACGGATAGCATCTGAATTCCGCTGACAGATGTCGGGCGTTGGAGTGCACAAGCCGTGAGGGTGTGAAGCAGAGCTCGGAAGCTAGAGGAGAATCGAAGTGGAGGAGCATGTTCATGTGGATCATATATCAATATCAATTTCATAATCATATCACATCATTGCACCAGTTACATCATATCATATATCTATCTCGCTTTGGTTCTTCACATTATGTTGAACTCTGAAAAAGTAGCAATGCCCGAGAGCCATGAGATCGAGGACAGTTCTGCTCTTTCATGGGTTTGTGTTGCTATAGACTGGTTTTGCATGTTTGTATATCTATATACACTAGACTACTAGTAGCAAGAAGCTACTAGTAACAAGGCACCTTACTACTAGTAACAAGTGCATTACTATCAACTAGTAGCAAGAAGCTACTAGTCTAGTTGCTCCTAATAGCGATGGCCTCCAACCTAAGAGCGTCCTTGCTCCTAGTAGCGATGCCCTTTGTTCCTAGTAGCTTCTTGCTCCTAGTAGTAAGGCCACAAGCCCCTAGTAGCGTCCTTGCTCCTAGTAGCGTCCTGAGTGCACACGCGTTTAGTTTTAGTACGCTGAGGTGAGCGAGACCTGAAGCTGACCTTTCATCACTTGATTCCAAAGGACGGATGTTCGCGCATAGAGGAGGCAAATGTCCGAGAGACCATATACATATAGACTGTAAGTTTCTTGGTGACAACCTGTTTGGGAATTGGGGACACTTTATACATCACTTTACTAGAAGCAACTGGAGTGCTATGTGGCTCACACCTGCTATGACTGGGCTTTCATTGCCAACAAGAACGGCACAAGGACCACTTGATACAGCAGGGTGATCAACCCTCTTTCCCCACAACTGAGCTTGCTTCGTCGCTTCATCATGGTCCTCTTGTCCCGGAGATGAACGCCCTCACTGTACCTCTCGAGGATCCTCGGGAATTGCGAATGTTCAGTGCGTGGACCCGCGATGCTTGTCGGCAGCACCCCGGGTGCTGCCGACACCCCCTGTGCGGGATGTCTTGAGAGCTAACCTCAGTCCTCCGCATGCGACGCTCATTGGCTTCCCAGGCTTGGCTCACGAGTGACCAAGCAATGGAAGTTGTGGAGGATGTTGTCGAAGTGATAGTTCTGAACAGCCCAGCCCATGCCTTGCAGCAATTCTTTCGGTTGCGTGGAGTCGTGGAGCCCAAAATTTGTTGGTTGCGACTGTTTTTGTGCTATGACTTCGATCAGTGCATGGTTTGATCTTCAGATATTCAATCATTCACTCACTCTTGTTGACCTCCAATGTCTCTCCAATCTCTACTGGTTGGGAAGACCACCAGTGATTGGACGATATAAGCCGAGCCTAGTTCGACTGTGCGTTTTGCGTCATGAGGCTGGTTCATTTGTCTGCCGTACCTTTGTGGACCGACCCAGCTTTTGCCGCGCCCTTGTTGACTTGAGGCAGCTTTTTGTTGTGTGCTACAGTTGCACGCTAATAACCGCATTGCCTATCTTTGGACAGGAGATGGGGGAGTGCACGGACCGTGTCAGTGCATGAGTAGGGAAAGGGAGATCTCGCTTGTTCCGGAGAAGCTGTATACTGTATACCTTACATAAGGCTGATGACTGATGACCGTTGATTACCCTGGCTTACCTGCATAAGTGACCAGCTTTGTGATTCACTATTTTGTAATCAGAAGTGTACCAAAGATTCGGATTGTTATTTGTGTGAGGGGCACTTAGGGCCAACAATGCTGTTGCCATGTTTCTTTCATACGAGTCACTTTGTGCTTTTTGTAACAATGCAAAGCGCGCAATCTGTTTAGGTGATATGCGCAAGACACGGTGTGCAGGGAATGTATATTCACTGTCTTTATTCAACCCGCAGGAGGAACGCTTCTCTCCAGTTTGGGCGTGTGGGGGGTAGGGAAAGAGGAAAAACATGGAAAAACCATCCTAGGTTGCTAGAAGCAAAATGTTAAGTCCTCCGGAACTGTATTCGAGCTAGTAAGATGTTTTTTTTTCTGATTGCAATCAATTTAGATCCTTGCTGCTAGCTAGTGCGCTGCAAAGTTTTGTGGAGAGGAACTTTATGTAATTTATATACACATATTTAAATATAGTTCATTGTAATTCATTTGTTGACTCAAACAAGAATCGTGAATCAAGGCTAGTGTTGAGCAGAGCTCAATTCCATTGTCAAGGGTGATTGAACATCTGAAGAATTGTCAGCCATGGAGGTTCAAGTGGCAGGATACTGTTCAAAGAACAAATTGGAGGGCGAAGGGACTCTTTGAGCTGCAGTTTACTGATAGGACTGGAAATGGCCGAAGGTCCTCCTTCAAACAAAACACTGTATAGGTATCGCATGGGTCCCCGACTGAGGTTTGTGCGAGCATGCCATGCACATTGTTGAGAGATCACAGATCACACACTGAGCACACGAATTCAACGTATATTGAATTTCAATGAATTTCACACATGCTTTGCAGGGGTTGCTCGTAGACGAAAAGGTCGAAGAGACGGATGCCAAGTTCTAGGCTTGGACACACTCTTCAAGCTGAGTGAGATGATTCATCAGCCGCCAGCCGTGACTAGGGGGAGCTTCCCACAGGACCAACCATGACCACCCTCAAGAATACAGGCTTTGGTCCCACCTCGGCCGCCGGAGGACAAGCACCCGACTTACTTGGGCAAGCGACTGCCAAGCGGCATCGAGGGCGAGCCAACAAGGTGGTTCTTGAAGCTTGGCTGCAGTGGCTGGAGGGTTTGTGCACGAAGCAAAACACACTTGGCCCAGATTTTGGGGCTTTCGCAACATGTCTGGCCCGCAAGCTGGCGGCCAAGAACAATGGCAGCTACACCAAGCAGCAAAGCTGGGATACCTCATGTGAATGGATCGTGAGATTTGCCTTCAAAGCCGCTTTTGAGTTTGAGTTTGTTTTGTTTTTCATAGCTTCATTCCAGACAAGCAAGGCCTTCAGGATACTAGCGGAATCGGACTACGGCTAATAGACGGCGATGGTCCATCGTTTTTCATGGCAATGCTAGCGCCACATTGCACGTTCCCCTCACAGCGATGGGTGTATTTACTTTTTGCGTTGTTGCACCCTTTACATGCCCATTGTTTTCAGGTGTGGCAATTGCATTTGGTTACCTGTTGTTTCGTTAGACGTATGAGGTTGCAACCCCTCTTTGTGTTGAATTTGGGGTCTTCTGTTGCTCATTCACGTTGGTTGAAAGCTATGGGGCTCCAGGTTGAAGAGGTGTTTGCGGTGAATTTGGTTTTGTTGCTGTGTGTTTAATAATGCAGGCGCCGGCGACGGAGGGTTCGCTTGGGTGCTGGTTTCGTGTTAATTTATACTGTAGACATTTTTTGAAGATTCATGTGTAGAAGTGCACAGCATTACTCAGTACTCGAGACGAAATTGTGGTTTTTGTTCTGGGTTTCTGGGCGTGGTGACGGATCAAGAGAGGTGGCAGTTAGTTTTCTCACTGTTGTGGAAAGATAGGGGCATTGTCTTTAAGGTTTTGTTGGAGAGCAACATGTCTTTACCAAATGAGCCCTATGGCCTATGGACAAACAACACCAAGTCTGGCTTGTACTCACTTTTGGATGAAATTTGGTTCTCTCAAAAAACATAATATCAAGATGTGTCTGCCGCAACATTTGGTGAGTAAGAACATGGGGGCGATAACATGTTGAATGAGAGTGCCTTTGAGTCATCCAACATGTACGCCTACAGACAGGAACAATTCCAAGACGTTCCATCTGCACTCTTGCAGTACTTGTCGAACATAGAAACGCTAATTATGACGTTGAGTGGGTAGGTTTGGTTGGCACGTATGTTTAGGGCTGGTCGCGAATTTCGAGTCAGGCACTTCACTGCGCTCTGTGACATGTAACGCAGGAGCTTGCGCGTTCTGAAGCATGGAGCTGTTTACTGCACTCTGAGTATTACTGCACTCACTAGTTTTCGGATTGTCAGCCCCAGCCCCCTTTTCTTGAACGACGGGCAGGGATAGGCAGGGTTTCGATTGCAATGAGCTTAGGAAGTTCACCGCGGCCGGCCTAATATAGTTGGCGGGGTTGCTGACAAAATGCAAAAGTCTGTCGTTGTAGCGAAGCAGTCATACTCAACTCTCCTCCGTCAGGAATGAATCAAAACATTAGTTCGCAAAACATTTCATAAACACAGTCAGGCTCAAGGTGTCCAACGTACACAGTGTCTAAAACAACTTATACAACCTCATCGCGGTCTATCCAGCTGTCGATCAAGTCTGTTCAGTAGCTTGCAGGGTGACAAAACATGAAGAGCAGCAACCTCGAACGTCCAACAACACACATGAAACACAGTTTTTGTGTTGGACCCGCTTTTCCTGTTTTGCTCGTCCTTTTGATTTATTCTACCCATCTTGCGTTACTATCTACAACTACATATCCAGCGGCTATGGCTATGGCCAAAAAAGTATATACTGCAAACCTCAAAGTAATATAGTTCATTTGTGCAAAATGTTGTTTGCGCCAAAAAACAATCGTATCACGTCTGGAGATCTGACAGTCTGACTGTGTCTCTGTCTGACTGTTTCCAAAGTTTGCAACCCTTGAACTTGCATCTTTGTTTTTGCAAATTCAGGTGCTATCATGCTTAACCCACGCGTGGTGCTAGTAGGTGAAGGGGAAGAAGGTTAAGGACAAACTCTTTCTAACCATCACCAGCTTTGAACACAAGTAGTCAGAAATGATGTGGCAAGCACCTGATTGTTGAGACGAGATGCTTAAAAAGTCAGTAATGGACACATTTCAGATTCATTGGGGCACTAATGTGGATTGGCAACAGTACAGTTGGAGGGTTGAGGGTTGCATACAAGGTGGTCCTGATTGTAAGATGTTGGAAATTAATTTCAGACGACTCGACCGATCGGATTGTTGTTACTTGTGCTTTCTTGGTGCGTGTGTCATGTTGAGACATGTTGAGGAAATTCTGTGCAGCCGAGGAACAAATATGGTGTTATGATCTGCCGTCAGTGCCACAACACAGTGCACAGCATCGCCAGCAACGAAGTCTTGGCATCTCAGTGACCCAGCATGTCGACTCACTGCCTGCTGCATGCTTAAGTCTGTTTGAGTTCTAGTACCGACATGTTCTTGCGCATAGATTCTTACTTGAGCATAATTTTACCCTACGATGCTTCTGCCGATTCACTGAAGAGTTTGGTAAGTTATATAATGTTATATATATATATATGAGCAACCTGATTTATCTCGGAAAGCTATTTAGTAAAGGACCCGACATTGGGGTTGCAGAATTTGCATGTACTTGGAAAACGATAATACACTCATCAAAAAACAATAACACAATCATGTTTAATTATAGGAAAGCTTAGTTTTCATAGCTGCAGTACAGCTTTTTAAACCATTAAGACCATCAGGGAACCTCGTTTCTGCTTAGTCTAGCCTTTCCCAAAGCCGTTTTTGACTTCGGACTTTGGCGACAGGTTTGTCGGAAATGTAGCTGTAGTAGTCAAACGATAACCTAAACGATAACCAAACGATAACGTAAATGTAGACGAACCTGTGCTACGAAACCAGTGCCCCACTTGTATCTG